TATGGAGATTCCAAAAGCTTATGGCTCCCGATAGTTGACCGAAAAACCAGCTTATTTATGATGGGGCATTTTATGGTTGCAGCACGTATGGGTCGGCTCGACTGGGGTATGAACACGCTCGCACAGAATACCAGCGAAAAATAGGAGCAATATTATAATATTGCTCCTATACAGTACTTACAATGCTGTGTTTTGTATAAGAAGTTTTGTATTTGCTACCCAAATACAACAACTTCTTTTTTAGCAATTTGAAGTCGGTTTTTAACTTTTTACTTTTTGTTAAAAGTTATAATTAATAATTATAACGAACGAAACGAGTTAATATAATTATTAATTATATTAACTCGCTTTCGTGTATGTGTGTTCGGATGGAATGTAGTCATTAACTTTAAACTAAGTTCCCGATGAACAAGACACTTAAAATTTTCAACATAGCTCAGTATCTAATGACAATTTAAGAATATGAAATGACAATGTAAAAAACGTGGCAGGTAGGTATATTAAGAAAACTATTTTTTTTTAATTTTACTTGTCTGTGGTAATAAATTACTCGCTTGTCCCTTCCTAAATCTGGTTTTTATGTACAATATTAATTAGAAGTATTGATTACGTTACTGATTATTCTATTAGCTTCGATGCATTTAGCATGACATGTATTTATCAAACAGAACAATCACCACTTATTCCATAAAATTCCTCTTTGAAACTCATGTTAAATATCTTATTAATTGTATGTGTTATAAAAATACATCCTTCTTATATTGACATACTGACAATTTTAAATGGAAGGCTATGTATCTTAACTACTAAAAATTACCGTCTACTATTGACGTATAAGGGCAAATCCCTAAAAATAATTGCTTCCATTTACAAACAGTTATTTGTATTCATCGTCATCATTATTACAGCCCATTTATAAAGAACGGTAAAGAATGCCACTAAGTGCGGTCCTGGGTCATCTGCATCCATCGACTTCCTTCGTCTCTCATCAGGTCGTCACTCCATCTAGTGGCTGGTCTCCCTCCTCATCGCTTACCGTCACAAGGCTGCCACTTGAAAATTTTTCTTTTCCATCGGTTGCCTAACTATATTCGAGTTATATAGCTGGTCAATTGCTACTTCAGCTTACGGATCCGTTGGTCAGTCGGTTACTCTGGTTCTACTGTAGATATCCTTTTAATATATTTATACGTGGTAGAGCCATGCTGATGCTGCAGTTATATTAGAAGTATAATTGTAGCACGAATGGGTCGGCTCGACCGGGGAAGGACCACGCTCTCACAGAATACCAGCGTGAAATAGTAGCTTAATGCTGCTGTGTTTCGTATGATGAGTTTAGAGAACCGGATACCCTTTTTATTAGAAACGAGGCGTTCCATCTTAGTCCTCACTGGTGACAACGCATCTGCATTTTGACTCGTAATCGAGGATAGATGTAGATGTCTATGGGTCACAGCAACCACTTACCATCAGGTGGACTGTGTGCTCGTTTGTCACCCCATCCTATAAAAAAGCTACGTTAGTGGATTTTGTTTATATATATTTATTGCAAGAACACCAAACAAAATTCGTGGTAACTAAAAACATTCATCATATTTTTAAATTTATCGGGGAGCTATTTTAGTGATAAACTCGATCTCTAACAAAACTTAAGACTCGTATTCTTTGTACTAAATTACCCATTCGAATGTCCGAAGCGATCATTCAGGAGTTTTTTTTAACAACCCTTGATTGCTCGTGATGCGCGGCCAAAGACAAAGCTTTATGGTTTGTGCCGAATTCTATGAGTATCACATTACAACAGTGCTTTGATTCGCACGCCCTTTCATACCTGTCAGTACCGCCGGGCTTTGATACACCGCAGCCAGTCGAATGGAATATTATAGACAGTCATTGCAGACACTTGTGGTTAAATTTATAAACCTGAGGTCAAGCATAAAGTTGCGATGCTACGAGCCACAGGTTCGAACGAAACCACTTATTTCTTGCAGAAAATGTATATATGTATAAATATTAGAACTACATTACTACATACCATTGCTCCGGGTTGGGATGTTTGTACTGGTGCAATTATATATGTAAATGACTCCACGATAAGAGAGAACTTCCTAGATGCCTTAAATATTTTTAATGTAACATTTGGTGTAAGCGCTTGCACAATAAGTCGATGATGTGGCCCATAGAAATCTTCATCTATTAAGAAAGTATTATCATCATCATCATTAAAGCCCATCATAAGTCCACTGCTGAAAAGCTTAAGGATTGCCACAAAGCCCGGTCTTGAGCCAACTTGCATTCATCGACTTCCTGCATCTCTTACCAGGTATTCACATCATCTCCTTTCCATCGGTTGTCGTTTCTTCGAGCAATATATAAAGCATGAAAGAACTCTTCTCGTTGTACTTGCTTCTTTAACTTGCGTATTTTCTTATCCTTTCGAATTTCGATTTTTATATTTTCACCTATAAAATATTATACGGGTAGTTTTCATAACTAACGTTAAAAATGGAGCTTTCAAAAATAAGCTTTTAATAAATAATATGACAATGCTTTAACTGTAGCATTGCTTACAAAATATTTTTACTTGCATATCTCTATTTGTTTTTTTTTTTTGAATTAAAAAATATATATTTCCAAAAATGCAGCAGATTATCAAAGCTTTTAGTTTGTATTCAGAATTTAAACTGATTATAAAATTAAACCTAAAACTTCTCAATATTTGATTTTAATTCGTTCGTTTCAATTTTACACAAATGAAGTGTGTTATAAAAGTAAACTTGTTTAACGTATTTTCCGTGCTTTCGTGGTTTAATTTCATATGAATATGCTTTGAACGAATTAACCACAATTCGTTCAAGGAATATGCTTACGTGAAATACTTACTATGTATAAGAAAAGTGATTATATTTATTAAAAAAATAACCAAACAGTCATTACACATTAGCAGCACTTTTCCAAATTGGAAATGTAAAAACTAAGAGTGGGCATTCGACAATTTTTCATAATCAGCCGAGCCCTCGTCTAATGAAAATGACAAGACTAATGTAACAACTGAAAACATTCCGCCGGACGGATCTAACAAAGCATTCATTTTCTGATGGCGGTAATCTCGCCGAAGGGCGGCATTGTTCGTGATTTTCTCTACGCTTTTTTTCCACATTTTCTTGTCGAGAAGAATAAAAATACTGAACAGTATTGTCGACGCCGACGCTCGCGCCGTGATCGCGCAAAAAGGAGCCCCTGGATGACAACGAAATGACGAGAGCTGCCGCGGGGGGGGGGGGGGCTCCCTCTCGCCCACTTGTAAAAATGTCGCCTGGAAAGGGGCGGCGTGCCTACGACAAGACGGCATTTTTACACACCACCGCCGAACCGAAAAATCCTATACACCAATCCGATACCAACACGATTTGCACTTTGATACCGTCGGATTAGTATCGACAATCGAACGCCGCTCGGTGGCTTGACTTTTTAAAAGCGGCTTGTGTTTGTGATAAATCGATAAGTATATATGTAGCAGCCGAGGGTACAAATTGCACGGATTTGTACAGTTCTTTGTGTTAACAAGGCTAGGGGAGGGGCGCTTAGCGATTTCCGTCGGCTGTATTGGAAAATATAAAATTTTGGTTTCCATTCAAAGCCCGATGTTTCAGCTCGAAGCAATTAAAGGACAAGTTTCTGAGAATGCACTTTAAGGGAGCTCACTTGATTTTTTTTTTGTTAAACAACTTTCAATGGACCATAGCTACTAGTTTTTTTGCGATGACACTTCACCGTTTACATTGTTTTTTTTTTACATTTAAAAAATAAAGTACAGTGCAGACTAAATTTTTAATTGGTATTTATTGACAAACGATAGTAAGGAAATAAACCTAAACAATTCTGTTTCACTATCACCATAACAACAGCCATGGCCAAGTCTACTGCTGATCTCTTTGATCCATATTGACTCGTTTATATCTCTAGATATTTGCCAAAGTTGCTACGCTTGGCAAGTGGGTTGGCTAGCGCAGTTTTTTTATGGTTCTGTTCTGTTATCAGTAAGATGTTACTGCCTATCTCCTGGATCAGTTCCTCTCTTGCCTCTTACAACACCCTCGGGATGGTGTGTAGTAGTTGATATTATCTTTTATTAGTTAATGTATAGAATGTTACCAGAAATATACTAACGTTCTACTCGCACCATTCTCTTCAACCAAAACGCGCTGACTGCGATATTCCATCGAGAAAATATTAAAGCTTCAATTTCACGGACTAGTGAAAAATCTTTCAAAAAATGCGTCATGTTGAACATTAAGAGGCTATCCTATGCACAGAAATTAATTCAAAATTTGTTTTTTGAATTGTTTGTTGAATTTAAAACCATAAGCACCTGTGGTCCGCGAGTAAATGCATTTGATTATTATAATAATCGTGATCAACATGATTGCAATAAGCCTTCCGCAATTGCTACTACAAAACACGATCTTGACCTACCTGCACTCACCCGCTTCCCGCATGCCTTACCTGGTCACCACCCCGTCTAATGGGGACCACTCTACAATTCGCTTACTGGTATGAATTTACTAGTCAAGGACCATTAATCTTACTCTTTATAGGTTTTCAGTTCTTTGAGCTACATGGTCAGGCGACGAGACCGTTGGGCGGTCTTAGAAAAACGGAAAGGATATCAATCATTCTTAAAAAACCACACTGAAGTCTTACAATGCATTTTAGCTTAGTAGCACATTTACCCAATTTATGGTATTTGTCAAGAAAACAAACAGAATTATCCCGTATTCCTCTTTATAAGCATTATTATGACCTCCAGTTAGAGGAGGAAAACCAAAATACAATCAAACCCGGTACCGATAGTTTGTGTTTTTCAACAATTATTTTTGTCTACAGCGGCTTCAGGGCATATATTCAGTTATAGACATTAATAGGCTGGTATGAATTGTTAAACCCATATCTACTTCTGCTTACAGTATAATGTATTAACGATGTTACATTTGCTTCAGACCGCATCTGTGAAATGCAAGCTCAGTGTTTCGTTGACAAACATCCTGAGTTGAACGAAGTGAAGGGAGCTGCCGAGTACGTTTCCACGCCAGTAAGCGACAAATCTGTAACTCCAGAGAAATTCTTCAACAAGCCAGTTTTCGGTAAGTATATGTTTTAAATTTTCTGCATCAATCTTACGTTTTATTATAACAATAAAAATAAAAAGGTCATAGGGGACGCAGATAATTTATTTTTTCACAAATTATTTATAGCCGTTTACATAAAATCCTATAGGAAACATTTTAAACAAGTTCTTTTTTTTTAAATATTAAGCTAAAAAGCAACAGTAATTAATACTGAACATGACTCTCTCCTATTTTTATTTTCAAGATATTTAATTTTCTAAAAATTAATTTGACTAATATATACACACAGTCCACCTGATAGTAAGTGGATGCCGTGGCCCATGGTCGTTAACCGTCAACCTATCATAAGTCCGCTGCTGAACTTCCTCACTGAATCCTTCTCCATAGATTTCCTCATTGAACAGATATCTGCTATAGTTGCCACGCTTCGCAGGTGAGTTGTCAACCGGAGTTTTTATTAACACTGCTGCCCATCTTTTTGTTTCCCTCTGTCGCCTCTTACGATCCCCACGGTACGATAGGGGGGGGGGGGTTAGTAGATATTCTTACACTGACGCTACACGATAGTCATCTACATCTCTTGTTGATTAAGATTCTAAATGCTGAATGCGTTGTCACCACTGAGGGCTAATGGTCGCCACACACGGACTGTTCAACTGATCATTCCAACTGATCAGTTCAAACTAAAACTGTTGATATTTTTTAAAATATTGAATTTTCGATATATCGAAACTTCTAATAATAATAATAATATAGAATTTTCGATATATCGAAAATTCAATATTTTCAAAAATATCAACAGTTTTAGTTTGAACTGATCAGTTGGAATGATCAGTTGAACTGACCGTGTGTGGCGACCATATGGAATGACCATGATGGAATGCCCCGTTGAAAATTTGTGTAGTAGGTATTTATCGATTGAAAACTTAAGTAAAACAAGTAATTCCGTTTTACGTTTTAAATTAAACTATATTTTAATATGAATGTGTAATTTATATAAACAAGATATTAGTTTATATTCCACCTTGTTGTAAATAGTTAACGTTAAGTTCATGGACATTTGTAACCAACCTCATACACTGCCGTAAACTAATATAACCATATTGACTAAAACTACTTTTACGGATTTTATCGCGTTTAATTTTAATTATTTTTATTTTTAATTCCCGACGTTTCGGGTGCTTTCCAGCACCCATGGTCACGGGGGACTGAGGTGACTGACGTCCCGATATCATTGTTAAACCCGGAGTACCTTCAGCTATTTAAATTATACCACAAAGAATAATTAAAATAGCTGAAGGTTCTCCGGGTTTAACAATGCCAACAGGACGTCAGTCACCTCAGTTCGTAAAAGTAGTTTTAATCAATGTGTAGTGTTCGTGTAGTATAGTAATATAAGAAATCATAATATAACCATAGTTATACGTCATAGAGCCATACTACAATAGCTATAGTTGTAGTACGTATGGGTCTGCTCGATCGGGGAAGGACCACGCTCTCACAGAACACCAGCGTAAAATAGTAGGTAGCTTAATGCTGCTGTGTTTCGTATGGTGAGTGTAGAGCACTAGAGACCCTTTTTACTGGAAACGAAGCATTCCATCTTAGTCCTCACGGGTGACAACGCATCTGCATTTTGATTCGTAATCGAGGATAGATGTAGATGTCTATGGGCCACAACAACCACTTACCATCAGGTGGACTGTGTGCTCGTTTGTCACCCTATCCTATTAAAAAACAGTCTGTAATTATACTAGTTCTCTATACACTTGAGAGTGGAACAGAACGGTGCAAGCACTGCTATTTAGTGGCAGAAGAGGGGGGAGGGGCACCTACCGAGATTGACTCCTTTTAGAACAGGAGTTGTACCATCTTGTGAACTTGATTGACTACAAGAAACTGGAATGTTTATATTATATGTAATAGTATGCCCATAGACTGCCTCGTTGGTCTACTGGTTGTAGTAGTATGACTGCTGATCATGAGGTCCTGGGTTCGAATCCCGGGTCGGGCCAAGAAAAATCAATTATTGAGTCAAGAAATTCTCAGTAGCTGCCCGAAATCAGGAAGTTGGCGGTGTCTCACCCCCGTGCCTCGGGAAGCACGTAAAGCCGTTGGTCCTGCACCTGATCTCTCTCCGGTCGTGTCGGTTTACCGTCCCATCGGATTATGAGAGTGAGGGAATAAAGAGTGCACCTGTGCTTGCGCATACACTTGGGCACTATAATCCCGTCCTGCGCCGATGGCTAGCCTCCGTTGAGGCAGGCCGCCATGACCGAAATTCGGTCTGGAGGACATTATTATTATTATTAGTATACCCATATTATTCCATTTGAAAAACCTTAATTTAGTTTCTAAAGTCAAGTAAAAAAATATTGGGATACTTTTGGACTATTTTTTTTTTAACTAAAATTACCTTTATCCGGTCACGCCGCTTACGAACGGTTAACGATCGCAAACTGTAAAACGCATTCATCTAAAATATCAATAGGCATCATAACATGCGAGTACGCATCTTCGTACTCCGCTCGAATGCCTTTCCACATTCAAATTATCTGATACGTCTATCATGGCGCCAACAAAACGCGCCTCTCTTGTTAAATTACATGTATTTAACAACAAGAACACAAACGTTCGCCATTGTTCGTCGCGCTCGCGCATCTGCTGACTTGATTGTATGGAATCGGAATTAGATTTCAAATATAGATGCGTGTGTTTGTTTTTTTTTTTCTTTTCGAGCATCAGGCATTCTAACGGTGCCGCCTTTTTGTTAAATATTTGATTGTTAGATTATAATCCGATTTATTACAATTGCGTGCTGTTAGACTAGTTTCTGTTTTACTAACAGGCTATGGCTATCTGTACCAACTCACATATCACATTGTCATCTTTTTTTTTTTTATAGAAGAGGGGGCAAACGAGCATGTGGCTCACCTGATGTTAAGTGACTACCGCTGCCCAAATATAATCATATACAGCAGGAAAAGAGTTGCGGAGCGAACGAACATCTGAGGAGCTAAAACCGGCATTAAACGTCATAGGTTCAGAAGAACAGTCTTTGACATCGGCTTGGAGTGCCCGTTAATTAAAAAAAATCCTTCCTGTAGCCAATAATCTGCGTATTTATTGATACCTGGCATAAGTAGGTTATTGATATACAGCAGGAAAAGAGTTGCGGAGCGAACGAACATCTGAGGAGCTAAAACCGGCATTAAACGTCATAGGCTGTGAAGAACATTCTTTGACAACGACTTGGAGTGCCTGTTAATTAAAAAAGTCCTTCACGTAGCCCATAAGGTCAAGGAATAAGCCGAATATTAAAGGCCTTTGAGACATCGAGGTAAATAGCAATTGCTTTAGTAGTTTTATTTGAAGGTTCGCTCCATTTGTGTGTGGCATATACTAGAAGTCGAACAATTGTGACAGAACTAACATTGCCAATTTGGGAGCTCATTCTGTACTATGTATGCCATACGGAGGGTGCTAAATATACGCTTCATAATCTTGCGAGCGTATCTTTTCGATGTGTTATTCGGCGGCGGCGGCGATAAAAATCTGCATGGCTCAGAAATTCATTTCAATGTAATAAGGTCTTGTTTTCCGAGTCTGAAATTTACAATCTTGACGTTTATATCAATTTTACACCCGTATTAACAAACATTACTATATGGTCTCACAGTGCGCTCCATCGCAAAGGTAACAGAAAACGTATCTTACGGAACTTTACGGACAAACACTATGCGTTCATTTCAATGAAAACACAGCTGTGCTTTGTTTTTTAAGATTAATTTCAAATTTATATTTATTTTATAAGATGCTAATTTCTCTCACAAATTAGCATGGCTACTCTCACCATACGAAACAAAGCAGCGTTAAGCTGCTATTTTACCCTTGTGTTCTGTGAGTGTATTATGAACTAATGCAATGAAACCTTGTCTCAAGTTTGAATAAACGTTCTATAACCGTTTTAATAAAGTCTAGAGGCGATTAAAAATATAAAACATAAGACAATCATTTAAAATATTATACAATAGGAACTTTCGATTATAATTCAATCGAAAAGTAGCGCCAAAGTATACAATCTCTGGTCATACTATTGCTAAATTTCCTGTAAGTGACCATTAGGGTAACTCCAATGATATTAGGTAGACGACATTATATAAAAGCTAGTTAACTTCATTGCGATAGGTCTTTGTCCTAATGTGGACTGTTAATGCGTTGATTATAATGCTTACACCATATAAAGTGCAGGCCTGTAGTGCTAGGACTATTGCTGCTGTAATATATGGGTTGGTGCTGCAAAATGCTATCTTTTCGAGCTTTGGGCTCAATGGAAATGCACACTAAGAGGAGTATTGATGACTGAATTTGGTTAAAACCGATCTTAGAATAATAATACCAGTAACGAAAAATAGCCAGCCTTTCAGTTTTCTATGGGACACATTTCACAGGGTGTCCGCGGGAAGTGCATAACTTAATTGCTCCTTCTACTTTCCACTATCGGACAACCAGACACTCGGCTAGTTTCGACCCCTATATTGTTGACATACCACGCATTCGAATCAAATTATTTGCTTCGAATAACGAACTACGTTATTCGTACAACAAAGGAGTGGTAATAATTCCTTCCTTCTTTCTTTTCATCCGATTACTATATGGGTGTCTTTAAGGCAAGAGTGAATTGGCATTTTTAGACAGTGTGTTTTAACATCTCCGGTGGTAAAACTGATAGTCTAGTCAAGTATTCTTTACTTGCATTGTTAGGTGTAAATGGTAAATTCACAGAAAATTATTCTCAAAAAGTTTATTTTTTTTTATAAAACTTAATGACAAACTTACAGTCCACCTGGTAGTAAGTGCTTACTGCAGTAATGGACGCCTGTATTCAACTCCAATAGAAGGCTACATATACATATATGCGTTATCACCTCTAAGTACTAAAATTAAGTGCCTAACTAGCTGTAATTATACCGGCTTTTTATACCTTTCAGTTCGGAATACAGCAGTGCAACTGT